TTCTGACTATTTTTTTTTCCACTAACTACTTAAGATGAGTGAATGGAAAAAAACAGATGCATTTCAAAATCTTCAAAATAAAATTCCTTTCTACCTTATTTTTCAAAAAATTGCATTTTCATTTTTGGACCCACTCCAGTAACTTCTATCCACTAACATTCTCAGGGCAAACCCTTCTTTGCAACATACAGTTTAAGGGAACAGGCTAAGATTAATGACCACAGAACTAAGAAAAGAAAGAATCCTCTGACTTTGCATCCAATGCTTTAAACACCCCTGTTTCTTACAGTCACTGCGCATATCCACAGACACAAACAGCAAGGGACAGCAGTATATTTCAGTCACTGAAGATACAGATGCTAATCCCTGGCACTGATTTCAACCACATCTCCCCTTCATTCCTCTGCCCTCCCAGAGCGAGTCCCTTGAAATCAGATTTTACACTTTGCAGGAAGTAACTATTGTTAGTATCACACTTTTGCACTCCAAGTTGCATTTTGTTAGCTTAGAATCCTTCCCTGAGCTGAAAAATCTGGACTATGAATGTTTAAGTATCTCATAAGTCACCCAAACTGATGAGACTGTAGCTAATTTTCACTACAACTCTCTGAAAAAAAACAGGAAAAATTGAGAAAGAAAACATGTACATTTACTCAGTCCTGTGCGCTGATAATATTTCCATCAACTAGCATGTGAAAAAAAAAGATTCACTATGCCAGAACCTTCAAAAACTTTCCTGGACTATCTGGCTTTAAACATAATTTAAACATATGTCCATTTATTAAATATTTGGTTTGGTTTCCTTTACCTTCATTACGGTTCATGAAATTATTTCACAGGCACTCACTCAAAACTTCACCTCCTGCTGTTTTCACAATGACTGAAGTAATAATTCAGCTGTCTGTTTGGGACTTTATATCATCTCTACTACAAAAACCTGTGCTGTCATAGACCAAATATTTAATATCATTGAAAAGACAATGTCTGGAAGAGCAAGCCAGAAACACACAAAAGCCCTAGCCTCACTGTAGCCTTCTTATGAGCAACTTGGTAAGTGTAATGAAAAAGAACAAATTTATCTATATACAATATTTTCCATTTCATCTTTATTACCATAAAGGAAGTATACATTTTAAAAGTCCAATTTTATGTTAGATGGGTCAGTGTTAAATAGGAAAGAATTGTCTACAAAGCTGATAAAAGAAAACCAGAAATAATATTTCCTAGGGAGAATATGATGTGCAGTTAGTGTAAACCAGGATAGCCACCAAGTGTGGCAACCTTATCAGTTGAAGACTTGGCCTTCAAAGCTTTTTTTGTGCTTTCACACTTTCCTTCTCTCTTACTGTCACTGCCATGCTCTGTTTTGATCATTGCTTTGAAACTTCACATTCATTGAAAACCACAAATACAGAGAAAAAATTAATGAGAATTAAAATAATTTTGCTTGCAAACAGGATCTCCACCCTCCAAAAGTTTTACAGTAATTATTGTTAGACATTAAGGGATATTTGAATTACAATAAAGAACAAGTAGGTCCTATGATGAAAAAAACAAGATGACCACATATAACTTGGAATAAAAAAACACTTATATAGTTTCTCAAGCCAATGAGTGACTTCTGACGCTCAGCTCCACGGGCAACATCGTATTTGTTGCAAATACTACTTTATCCCACGTAAATCAAGTAACTGCACACACAAGTATGCTGCTGCATGCACAGTGCAATATAGATATCCACGAATGACCAGCTTTGGAGCAGTAAGGCACAACTGTTGCAGACTCAGCTGTCGTATTGTTGCCATTAATTGTGATTATTACTTGAATTCTTGTAGGGCTCATCTAGTCAAGTTATAATCAAACCACACTGTGCTAAAAACTTAGTTTAAAATATTTTTAGTTTTTACTCCATTTAACAGGCAATTACAGTCTGAAATACAAAAGGAATCATACAGTAGGGAAAATCTTGCTTTTAAATAATCATTTCCATTAGAATAGGATTCTTCAAGGTCATGAACAGGCCACTGTAGAAAGAACAAGTCACAGAAAAAAACCCCAAAAAGTACCATTACAGAGACTTTCTTTACCACATTAGGTATAACTTTTGTGTATTTAACACAAACAGAAAAAAAAAATAAAATATATATATATATATATAAAGATGAGAGAACCATGATAAAAGAAGGGTAGACAAGAAACATGCACCATCTCATGTCAACTGCACAGGACGGCACAATTCTCAACTCCAAATAGCACTAGACCTTCTCTTTAGCTATAAAAGGCTTCACATTTCAATCCAGAATAAACAGGGGTTTGTCGAAGACTGCAAGTCAAAATATCCTGATCCCAGTGACACTTATGTCATTAGTCTCAATAAAAGCAGGGCTGCACCCTGCCTAGAAATGTAGACGTTCATCTCCACTAACAATCACCAGTAACCATTATAAAACTGCACGGAATACTATTTTATTTACCTGCATCCTCACCAGTTATTCTACAACACTGTTTTTCATCACCAGCTTTAGGGCCAAATCTCAGTTCTGGTTTTAATTCAACAGACAAGTAGGATTTATAGGGCTAGACAGAGCTTAAGCCCCTCTGTCTTTCTTTCAGCTCTTAACTCCATGGTACTATCCTGGCAAAACAATCCATAAATCCAATTCTATGGCAGCAGCAGCAGCATATAACACCATATTCACAAGTTGCTCCACAAGCCAACAGCTGTTCTCAGCAGGCAGGGTGTTTTTCTTCAGAGCTACAGAGAAATTATAGTTTTGAAGCTTTATTGACAGAAAAGACAGCCAATCCATGAGCTTTATGTTTCCAGCCAGCTGTCTGCCACTAATGTATTTGGGTTGTGATGGAAAGCAATGAAAACCCACATGCACGTGAAGAAAAAAAAAAGTTCCCTCAAAAAATTTGGAGTAGGAGGGTAGTTGGTTGTTATTCTGAAATAACATACCTTGCAAAGCATCTGCCTTCAGCAAACACTTTGGCTTGGAGCAGACAATCACCATTCACAAATATTTCTGTCAGTGTTTTATTGGCACAGTTTTAGAATAAAACCCTAACAAAACCAACTCAAGCATAGCTGAAGAACTAAGTAAAGATGTGGAAAACATACAGAATCTCCCAAAACTGTGCTTGCAATTCTAAAATTTTCTTTTGTGTCTCAAGTTAGAACTGTTTCTCCAAACATTATACAATTTGATCTCACGTAACAAGAATTTTCCATTCATATCCTCGTTGTGAGGTGCAATGTAAAGCTTATAATGTAGTGGTTCAGTCTTCTACAAACATACAACTTAAAAGTCAAGGGGTAGGGGGGGGAAGATGCTTGAAAATTTTGAATCCCTGTTCCACCTATTTTTTTTTCCCCCTTCAAAAACAACGATCTGAAAAATTGAAATGATGCCCCATGGGATCTGCTGGTGATATCACCAGTGGAGTGCTCCCAAAGACATTACAGTGCATCTCCTGGAACACTACATGTATTAATTAGTCTTACTAAAACGCAACTTCCAGAAAGTGAGATATGAGATGAGAGGTGACTAACAAGTCTTTGGCATTACGTATGTTTGTTTGGAATAATTGGTTACCAATGATCTTAAAATTATTTTTGTGGTTTGGACATTGCAGATCTCATTTTTCCTCCTTGCCGGAAAAGAACATCGCCTGTTTGTTCAAGTTTATCTTTGAACAAGATACGTGCTAAGACTATATACCATCAAGCTCGTTCACTCTTTATTTTGCACTAGTCCCTGGCTGTCTCTGCTGCGTGCACACTGGGAGTGAACCTCCCACGCTTCTACCTGAAGTAAATCAATTATTTATTTTGCCCGGGAAATCCGAGTGCACAATAGCAGGTAGAAAATACTGCATACCACTCCACTGTCCCCAGGGATGAGGGCTCTTACCCTGACCCGAGGACAGCAAAACCAGGCTGGGCTTAACCGTACTTGGCAATCAGAATTCTAACAGTTTACTGGTATGACAAGCTATGAACTCAGGGTATAAAGATCTTTGCTTTGTCTTTGGTTTGGCACACACAGACACGAGAGCCAGGTATAACCAGAGTAACATTTGAAAGCCAGCTGGCTCTCAGGAGCTTGACTGATTGCTGAGAAATGAGGAATAAAAACGACCCAAAAGCCACATAGGTTTGAATAGGATTGCTTTCACAGGAGTCATGATTGGGTCCACAGGAAGATTCTTAGCTAACCCACCGAAGCTGTCTGGATTTTCATACACCATTTTCTAACATCACAAATTTTGTATAGGGTTTTGCTGCCAGACCACAAACCCATTCAACATACGTGTATTTCAAGCCTGGGACAGAGGGCTCCTTGGCAAATCTTGCTGTTTGACCCACCTCACTGTGAATTATTTTTAATATCTCTGGGAGTGTATTTGTTACCACATTAGAGAGAGGCATAAGCGTCTTACATCATGTAACATAAGCGTTATTATCTCTCTCAAAGCAAAAAGCCAAGCAAAAAACCATAACCCCAAACAGCTACCATGTAAGCACAAACTTACCGCTCTAATTCTTATTGATTGTTGTTGCCGAGGTGTTTTTTTTCTCAAAACTTGAAGAAAATTATGAACAAATACAGCAATAATTATTGGCATTAGGATATGAAACCCTAGGATAACGCAATTAATGTACACTAAAGAAAGACTTAAACCTATTTTCAGAAACAATTGGTACGAATCTTACCTCTGATACAATGCAAAGGTGTTACAATACCTGGCACAAAAGACTGATAAATAAGAGCTATCAGCCTTTCCCAACAACTACCATTCTTTGGTATTCCCTGTCCTTGCAAAGAAAAATTACTCTAAATAAAGAGTATCATTACATTCTCCACTGTATATCAAGCCTAAGTTTAACACAAAGAAGATGATGACCCCACCTGAAAGCAAACAAAGCTAAGTGGGCCCAGAGGGTATCTGCACCAGGGTTTACCCACACTCAGCCAAGCACAGGGCAGGAGGACATGACAAGGAAAAGGATAAAATCCAAGCAAAGCAATCAAGGTAATGCTTTAGAGTAAGAAATACCCCCTAAGCATTTCCCAACTACAATTACATCCAGATTTTACAGAATCACAGATTCTGCAGGTTGGAAGGGACCCTGAAGGTCTCTAGTGCAACCTCCTGCACAAGGTGGTGGCCTTGCGCAGCCAAGTCTGGAGCATCCCCAAGGATGGAGCATCCCCACAAGGATGGAGCATCCCCACAAGGATGGGATCCCACAGCTGCTCTGCTCCAATGCTTGAGCACCCTTGCAGTAAGCAATTCTTTTCTTATATGGTAGTACTGACTTCCCACATTCCAACTTCTGTCCATTGTCTCTTCTCTTTCTGCCTTGCACCTCTAAGAAGAGTCTGGCTCCATGTTTTCTACACCTTCCCATTAGGTATTTGTAAACAACAGTTCCTGGCCCAACCATTTATCTAAAAGCCCGATCAAAATTCTAGATAAATCATACCTTCTTCTTCACCCTCTCTCACCAATGAAAAAAAATCTTCCAAACTATGTACTATAGCCCATGCCTGTGACTATTCTTCTTGACTTTGCACGGGCCTCCAGTCTATAAATGGACAGAAATTTCCAGAAAGTAGAGCCTTGACGTTGATGCGTTCCTTTTCATATGCCAAAAGGACACTTTCTTGCAGACCAATTCCTGTTAGTCTTTCCTATAAAATACCTCTCAAACAAGCTGATCTAGATACCTTAGCACATTAAAATCTGATGTGCTGGGCAAGAGCTCAGTTTAAGAAATAAGCAGACAACCCTAACAGGTAGTCAGCTAATAAACATAATATTTGTCATTTACTGCTGCAAGATGCCTAGGGTAGTAAGGAATCTCACAGGACGTCCTCAGGTTTGGGGTTTTTTTCCCCCCAGCCTTTTTCCTACATTTACTTCAGATTTCACATTTACATACTATACCTATTCAGACCCCAAGCTCTACCCTCACACATTGCAGACTCCTTGGCATTACCAGCTGTCATTAGCATTTTGGATTCCATGCAATACCATACTGATTCCCACCACGTGAAGGCACCCAAACTCCAGAGAACTCCTTTGATCTTTTCAAAGAACAACCAGGAGCATGATCATTGTTGCAATTTTTTTTTTATATTTATCAGTCTGTTGCTGCTTCCATGAATATATATTCCTCAGAGTTAAAATCTGCAGTAGCTTTCACATGAGTAGGCAAAAATCAATCACGGGGAAAAAAAATAAGGCAAATTTCACTTCTATATCAAGCAGTACAAGTGTTGCACATAATCTCTAAGGGGACCAGAGCTAAAAAGACATTAACAGATGCAAACAACATACCTGCTCCTTCATGCAGTGGCTGTAGGAGTTATTAAAATTATGTTTGCTGCTACAGTGGCTGTCTGTCCTCATGTTGGCTCAAGTCTTTGGATGTATTTCTTCCTATTTCTCATCTTAGTCAGCAACATCTGCATTGTTTTAATTCTCCATTATGCTCAGTAATGTAATTTTTGTACAGCTGCTATCATATTCTGGGGTTTAATAAACTGATCTTCTCCTTGATCCTCTCATCATCTGTCTCTTCATTCCCTGAACCTACCCTAAATCCTGCAATACCAAGCAATTTGCTTCTACAATCCTTCTCAGGCAGGTTTCATTAAAACCTCCAGCTGTGGAACTAATATCTAAAATCTCCACACCTGGAGATCTTGCACTGGCCCTACTGGGAACCCCACCAAACTCAAACCACTTCAGGAATTTGCTCACAACCATACTTTTGACTTCAAACAACATCTCTGAAAGTCTCCATGACCATACATTATTCTCTAGATCGACGCCAAAAATCACTGTTTGTGCCTGGCTCCTTTACAATGTAGTTCTGCACACGTCTGAGCACAGACTGTAGAAATGCCTTAATACAATTCCTAAAAAACAAAATTCCTCACCATCAGTTTATGCATTTTTCCCTCTTAATTAACAGCCAGAGTTATTGGCACGATAAACCAGAAATGCTGCAAAATGAGGTCTGCTAAAACGCCCTAACCACGGGCAACAGCCTAGCTCTTAAAAATCAGGCAGCCAGAATCCTTTTTTTTTTTTTTTCCCCTGGAGCCATCTTTCATGTTAGGCTAAGATGAAAACTCCCTGCGATATCCCTAAAACCTATTTGCACGGAACATTAGAAAAGAGGGCCATGACAAGAGCATGACGTGGGCACATCTAATTGCTCTAAGTCTGAATTTTCCATGAGATCCTGCAAGAGCATACACTACAGCCACGCTCAGCCTTCCTCCTGCACGGAGCTGTGAGTCGGCCGCCTAAGTGGCAGAGCTAAGGGCACATCTGTGGGGCCTGAACAGTCCCAAGAGCTAGATGTACTACTGCTGCCAGAGTATTTGACATTAAGTTCATGGTTTAAAAGAGCAAGCATTGCTCATTTTCTGCTTTTAGAAAGTCCTGTTTTCTCTGCACCCAGAACTGACCACCCAAAACCTCTGCAGGGAACCTGGGAGCCCCCCGAAAATTCCCCTGCACACACAAAGGCCACAGCCACGCACAAAAACCATGCTAACGCCAAAAAGGGTCGCCAAACCACACTCCAACCCGCTAAACTCAAGCACATCCCTGCTCTGATGTGTGCTGTGAGTGAAGGTTCACATCTGCCTCCATGTCTTAGTCGTAGGCCATGTAGATCCTCGATCCCACAGGCCCACAAGTCATACAAGGAGCGGCTGGGGGAACTGGGGTCATTTAGTCTGGAGAAGAGGAGGCCGAGGGGAGACCTGATCGCCCTCTACAAGTACCTGAGAGGAGGCTGTAGCGAGGTGGGGGTCGGCCTCTTCTCCCTGGTAACAGATGATAGGACGAGGGGGAATGGTTTGAAGTTGCTCCAGGGCAGGTTTAGGCTAGAGATTAGGAAAAACTTCTTCACTGAAAGGGCTGTCAGGCTCTGGAATGGGCTGCCCAGGGAGGTGGTTGAGTCCTCATCCCTGGAGGTATCTAAAAGGATAGATGAGGTGCTTAGGGACAGGGTTTAGTGGTGGGATGACAGGGTTAGGTTAAAGGTTGGACTCGATGATCTCAAAGGTCTTTTCCAAACAAAGTGATTCTGTGATTTTCAGGAAGGGACCATCCCTTCCACTTTTCCCTCCCACCCCATCTGCACTATGCACAGCACAGCTGATATAAGACCACCAGAGACAAAAGAAAATAAAAGGATGGAGCTGCAGGAGCCTGGGGAGTACTCCATGCTCGCTGGGTGCTTTCCAGCGCCACATTTTTCTCACCAACAAGCACCCCAGATGAAAAGGGCTGGGACAATTCGGAAGCAATTCATTACAGGCCAGCGGAAGCCTACTTCCACACCTTTTTCAGTCAGAAACGCGAAGCCGGCTTTAAAAAGAAATTAAAGGGAGCGGGAGCCGCCCGCGCAGCCGCCCGGCCCCTGACAGAGCCCTCACCTCACCGCACCCCTAACGGCCCCCTGGG